AGGAGGAGGAGGAGGAGGAGGAGTTGATGGTGGTGGAGACGAAGACGAAGCATCGAAGAACGCACATATTTTGTGGCGACTACATTCCTGGTCCCCTCATCTCCAGCCCTCTTGCTAAAGCCCTCCTCCTCACCTTCCGATCGGATGACGTGGAGACTGCTGTTGGCTTTCAGCTGAAATTCCAATTCCTCCCCACCCTCCAACTCTTCTCGAGCCCGGCAGGTGAGTCACTCCACACACACCTTCACCTGGATACTTTGCATTGGCACTGTAGCAGAGATGACGATAAGTTGACATTTATCGCCTAGACGTGTGTTCCAGTGTCGTTGCAAATGCCACGGAATGGGAAGGAGTGCTGCACAGTCCCGGATACCCCTCCGCCTACCCCAGTGACATGCATTGTGAGTGGGAGGTCAGCGTGAGCCATCCGGCACAAGGCATCATAATCCACTTCACAGATCTCGCTGTGGAGGGCTCCTTCAAAGGTGGGTAAGCTAAATGATCATACTGCCAACTTTCTAAGCTCTACCACCAACACCACTACTACTACTGCTGCTGCAACTGCTACTGCTTATGCCACAATGTCAACATCCCACCTGCACTGACATCATGCCACCTGCTCTAACTACAACCTAACCATCATCTTTAGAATGCAAAAATGCTGTCATTCGGATAAGGGTGGGCGACACGGTGCAACCCATCGCCTCCATTTGCGGTTTTGCCTCCGTCATCCCCGCCTTCGTCACCAACCACACTTCTGCCACCATAAGGTACGCTCTCTGACTCATCGCCACACTTCTGCTCTCCGTAGGTCGACAGTGTATCAATTGCCGTGACAGAGCTGTCACATCTGCCACAATTCGCCACACCTCAATAGCATTTATTTGGGCATGACAATGATGAGGCAAAGAAACTTCGTCATCAGTGAAAGCACATAGTTAGAGGGTGAGACAATTCGACTCCTCGGAGTGAGAAAAAGAATGACACTCCTCAACCACAACTACGACCATGATCACGACCACAACCGTGATGACGATGGGGCATTATCACTATCGTCATATGATGAGCCAACATTGCAAAGAGGGGGATCGATGAGGTGGATGGGAAGAGGTGAGAGGAGGATAAGGGGGGTGGGGCAGTGGTGAGGAGTAAGACGTACAGTGTGAAGTCCACGAAACCATGCGAAGCAAATGGTTCACAAACAGAATTGCTGATGGTGTGCGACACGATGACGAAACCTGACGATTGCAGCATGATCACTGCCACCTCGATTGGTGGGAGTAAAGGTAAGGGAGAAAAGAAGAATAAGAAGGAGGGGAAGTGGGAGTTCGCGTCTTTTTGTATACCCTAACGTTGG